TGGGGGCGCACAAGGGCCCGTGTGAGGGTCAGGACGTGGGGGTGCACAAGGGCCTGTGTGAGGGCTGAGGATGTGGGGGTGCACAAGGGCCCGTGTGAGGGCTGAGGACGTGGCAGTGCATAAGGGCCCATGTGAGAGCCGAGGACGTGGGGGTGCAGGCCCTGACAGCCTGAGGGACGGTGCTGCTGTGTGGAAGGCATGAGAATGGGGTGCTGGGCAGCTGGAAAGGGACCTGTTGTGCTCTGCTTTGGTTTCTTGGCTGTGCAGCCCCAGGCTGGGCTGGGTTCTGGCCTGGAGCGGGTGTACGCGTCCTGCAGAGTCAGCTCAGGAAAGATCACAGCTGCATGTGGTGTGTGGCACACTCAGGGCCGACAGGCTTGGGCCAGATCTGCAGAGTGCAGCCTGTGGGCTGAGGGAGGTGGCTGTCCTTTGGAAAACCTTCCAAACAGCAAGGACTGCACCTGGGAAGACTACAGGCTCTTGGTCCGCTGGGGCTGCGAGGGTGAGCATCTGGGGCAGTGGGCGTCCTCAGGGTTTGGGTTCCTTGTAAACCAGAATTGCTTTGAGAGGGCTCAGGGCAGGTGCCATGTGCAGTTCTGGTGTTTTCTGTGGGTTGCATGTGTGGCTTGGTGCCCTGTCCCTGGAGGAAGAAGGGTCTTGTGGCTGCTCCTCCAGCCCCTGGTGAGCCGCATCTCCCACCATTCCAGGTCCGCTTGGAGTGAGGTGATTACTCAGGCTGTTAGCTCAGATTTTTCAACTTAAAAATGCAGGCCAGGTGCAATGGCTCATGCCTATAATCCCAGCACGTTGGGAGGCCGAGGCAGGAGGATGGCTTGAGCCCAGGAGTTGAAGACCAGCCTGGGCAACACAGCGAGACTCTGTCTCTAACAGGACGTTTTTTTACATTAGCTGGGCGTGGTGCCGCACATCTGTGGTCTCAGCTTCTCGGGAGGATCGCCTGAGCCTGGGAGTTCAAGGCTACAGTGAGCTGTGACTGTGTCACTGAACTCCAGCCTGGTGACAGAGTCAGATCCTGTCTCTAAAATGAAAATGCAAACTGAAATGTGCCAAAATGTTGTTTTTCAGACATGCAAGAAAGCACTTCAGCCAAGCAGAAGGGAGCCAGCTGGACGAGGTGCGCCAGGCCATGGGCATGCTGGCCTTCCCCCCTGACACGCACATCTCCCCATACAAGGTAGGGGCTGCGTCCCCGGGGTCCCTGTCATGACAGGGTGGGTGTCCAGGGAGTGTCTGATCTGTAGCTGCTTTTAGACATGGGTGGGAAGTGAGGGCCCTGTCCTGAGACACACAGCCTTGCCCAGCCTGCCGAGACAAGCTTTTCTTACTTATTCCCATTTTGCTGATGAGAAATTTGAATCAGGGGCCGGGCGCGGTGGCTCAAGCCTGTAATCCCAGCACGTTGGGAGGCCGAGGTGGGAGGATTGCTTGAGCCCAGGAATTTGAGACCAGCCCGGGCAACACGGTGAGATCCCAACTCTACAGAAAACATTCTTTTAATTAGCTGGGCATGGTGACTGTGGTCGGGCTACCCAGGAGGCCGAGGTGGGAGGGTTGCTTGAGGCTGCAGTGAGCCGAGATTGTGCCACTGCACTCCAGCGTGGGTGACAGAACACGACTCTGTCTCAGGGAAAAAAAAAAAAAACGCAGTTGAATGAGAAAGGTTCAGGAAGACTTTCATCCTGGACTGCTCAGCTGGACCGAGCATCTCCTCCTGTTTCCCTGGTTCTCCTGTGTCTGCAGTCCCTTAGCTGGGCCCAGCGTCCTCACCCGTTTCCCAGGTTCTCCTGTGTCTGCAGTCCCTTAGCTGGGCCCAGCGTCCTCACCCGTTTCCCTGGTTCTCCTGTGTCTGCAGTCCCTTAGCTGGGCCCAGCGTCCTCACCCGTTTCCCTGGTTCTCCTGTGTCTGCAGTCTCTTAGTCAGAAGTGAGGCTGCAGCATCCTCCATGCTTCCCTTTCTGATGCTTTGTGTTTTGTCTGTAAATATGGAAGCCTCCAAGTCTCCGTGGTCGCTGGGGTAGGTGGTGGGGGTTCTGCCACCACTAACCAGGCACCCTGTGCCGATACCTGGCCTCATCCCAGCAGCCAGCTGCTCCCAGGCGAGTGGCTCTGCTCTGTACCCCTGCCCTCTCCCATGCCATCCCTGCACTCACCCCCATGTCCTCTTCCATGCCATCCCTGGACTTACCCCTGTGCCCTCTCCCATGCCATCCCTGCACTCACCCCGTGCCCTCTCCCATGCCCATCCATGTGCTCACCCCCATGCCCTCTCCCATGCCTTCCCCGCACTCACCCCATGCCCTCTCCCGTGCCATCCCCGCACTCACCCCATGCCTTCCCGTGCCATCCCCGCACTCACCCCATGCCCTCTCCCGTGCCATCCCTGCGCTCACCCCCATGCCTTCTCCCATGCCATCTCTGTGCTCACCCCCATGCCTTCTCCCACGCCTATCCATGTGCTCACCCTCATGCCCACCCATGTGCTCATGATGCTGGAAACAGTTTCAGTCTCTGGAAAAGGTAGAAGCAGATGAAACCTCCTGGAGTTGACAGTTTGATCCTGGCAGCCGTGTCTGTCAGAGGCAGGGGTGTTTCCCAGCAGCCCCCATCCACCACCCCATAGGGACTGCAAAGCCCTGGGCAGACCTAGACCTGCTGCCTTCTGAAAGCTGCTGGAAGCCTTCTCTGCCTGACTTCTCCCGACCTTCAGGCATTTGGGACATCTCATAGTAAAACATCATCAGTTCACGAGGATCTTCATGGGTGGAGTCTAAGCTTCCCAGATTGTGAATTGGCACCTTGTTTCTCTCCTTTCTCTGGAGAGGATTTGGTTAGAAATGTGAGAAAGGGTGGCCCATGCTGGGGCTGAGGCGTTCGGCTAGGCCGGGTGGAGCATGCGTCTCTCACTGGATGCAGCCCTGCAGTGCCGTAAAGAGGGAGGCAGTGCCAGCCCTAAGGCTCAGCAGTCACCAGATTCAGGGGACAAAATTGTGTCTCCTGGTAGGAAGCCCAGGAAGCCATGCTCTGTTGCCATGGGTCAGGCAAGAAACAGGAGGAAGCGTTTTGTTCAGTGAATGGCAGAAGCCACCAGAGGCAGGCAGTCCAAGGGAGTGAGAGCGGTGGCAGCTGCCCCTTCTCCGTGAGGACCTTCTGGACTGTGGGCTTCCTCCCATGTAGACTCTCATTTTTAGACAAAAATGAGATTAAAAGCAACCTTTTAAAATGTTGAAGTTAAGTGTGGTGTTTACCCTAAACTGAGACTGAGAAGAAGCTCACAGAGACTGACGGGTGACGTCCCATGATGACCACCTCCCTTCCCTCCCTCCATCTGCAGGCTGAGCAGCCTTTCTGGGTCAATGTTAGTTTTTTTTCTCTCCTGGGCTCACACATGCTCTCTCTCTAAGTCTAAACCTGAGGTTATTTAGGGACAGACAGTAATCCGATTTAATTTTCTGTTCTGTGATGCTTTAACCTAGCATGGACTGGCTTTGTCTCATTTAACACATGATTTCCCTGAAGTAAGACTTTTCCCTCTGGATTTAATGCTCTGAGGCTCTCTCTGCACTCAGCTCTCCTTCTAGCTCTGTGAGTCCATTTTTTTTATCACAGTGCACAGGATCCACACATTCCAGATCATTCGAGTTGATTCACAAACAAGTGAGTGTAGCAGAGTTAAGTCAGCACCAACTCCACAGTGTGTGGAAATCACAGAGTTAAGTTAGCATTGGCCCCGAGATGTGTTGAAATCAGAGAGTTAAGTCAGCACTGGCCCCACAGTGTGTGGAAGTCAGACTTAAGTCAACACCGACCCCATGGTATGTTGGAATCACAGTTAAGTCAGCACCAGCCCCACAGTGTTGAAATCACAGTTAAGTTAGCACCAGCCCCAAGGTGTGTTGAATTCAGAGAGTTAATTCATCACTGGGCCCACGATGTGTGGAAATCAGAGTTAAGTCAGTACAGGCCCCTCGGCATGTGGAAATCAGAGAGTTAAGTCAGCAACGTCCCCGTGGTGTGTTGAAATCAGACTTAAGTCAGCACTGACCCCCCAGCGTGTGGAAATCACAGAGCTAAGTTAGCACGAGCCTTGCAGTGTGTTGAAATCACAGAGTTAAGTTAACACTGACCCCTTGGTGTGCTGAAATCAGAGAGTTAAGTCAGCACCTGCCCCACAGTGTGTGGAAATCACAGAGTTAAGTCAGCACCAGCCTCGTAGTATATTGAAATCACAGACTTTAGTCATCACTGAACCTGCGGTGTGTTGAATCCCAGAGTTAAGTCAGCACCTGCCCCACGGTGTGTGGAAATCACAGAGTTAAGTCAGCACCAGCCTCGTAGTATATTGAAATCACAGACTTAAGTCATCACTGAAACTGCAGTGTGTTGAAATTACAGTTAAGTCAGTACTCATCCCGCAGCGTGTTGATATCAGAGTTAATTCAGCACTCGTCCCGCAGCGTGTTGAAATCAGAGTTAATTCAGCACTTGTCCTGCAGCGTGTTGAAATCAGAGTTAATTCAGCACTCGTCCCGCAGCGTGTTGAAATCAGAGTTAATTCAGCACTTGTCCCGCAGCGTGTTGAAATCAGAGTTAATTCAGCACTCATCCCGCAGCGTGTTTCAGTCAACACTTGAGGGAGTTATACTTTGTGCTGACCCTCAGTGCAGAGCATGTGGGACACTGGGGGATGGCTGCGGGCCGGTGGCACCTGCCCCAACATGGCCCACATTTTTAGGCTGTTTCAGGAACTTCCGTGGGAGCCTTCCCAGCAGTCTCTGCCCTGTGTCTTCTAGGACCTCCTGGACCCCGCACGGTGGCGGATGCTGATCCAGCAGTTCCGGTATGACAACTACCGACTACACCAGCTGGGAAACAACTCCGTGTTCACCCTCACCCTGCAGGCCGGCCTCTCCGCCATCAAGACACCGTATCCTGCCCCATGGCCTGGGGTTCGCGGCTTTGGTCACATTTTAACAGGCTGACCCTGCACCTTGCCACCCTTGTGCTCCCACCACAGACAGCCCCAGGCTCCCGCATGCTGCACCTGCATAGTGTCTGGACGGGCAGTGGGGCGGTGTTGAGGGGCCTCTGATGCCTGGCGCAGCCTTCACGCTGGAAAGAGGCTTACGTCCTCTCTCTCGTCGTCCCAGATGTGGCCATGAGTACCGAGCATTGATCTAAAAGCACAGCTTTCATGTGTTCTGGCAGCTGGGAAGTTACCATTCAGAAAAGTTTTCCCGTAGTTACCAAGAACCTTCCAGAATTTCAGTTGGTCTGCACCCTTGCTGTAGCAGCAAACTGTTTTTGCTCTCACAAAGAAAAAATACATGGCCATGCCTTCGGTAGAGAGACAGCTCCCTTCTGCTAAGAGCTGAGACGGACGCCCTGACCACAGCCGCCTGTGTGCCTCTTACTGTCCAGGTTTGGTAGATCCCCTCAAGTGCAAGACACACTCGTGGCTGGAACTGCCCCTCGTTTCTCCCAGCACACCCCCAACAGCCCTCTTCTGACAGGACCAGCCTGTGACGGACTCCTTCCTCCCATGACTGATCTGTGCCCCCTGTGACTGACTCTGTCCCTGCCTGCAACTGACTCCTTCCTGCCTTTGACTGACTCTGCCCCTGCCTGTGACTGACTCTGTCCTTGCCTGTGACTCCGTCCTTGCCTGTGACCGACTCCTTCCTGCCTGTGACTGACTCTGGTCCCGCCTGGACTGACTGTCCCACCTGTGACTGACTCTGTCCTTGCCTGTTACTCTGTCCCTGCCTGTGACTGACTGTCTTGCTTGTGACTGACTCTGTCCTGCCTGTGACTGTCTTGTGTGTGGATGACTCTGTGCCGCCTGTGACCAACTGTCCTGCCTATGCTGACTGTCCCACCTGTGACTGTCTCATCTGTGACTGACACTCTCGCCTGTGACTGTCCCTGTCTCACTGGTGACTGACTTTCTCTCCTGTGACTGACTCTGTCCCTGCCTGTGACTGTCAGCCTGCACCTGACTCTGCCCTCCCCTGTGACTGACTCTGTCCCCGCCTATCAATGTCTCTCATGTGACCAGACTCAGGCCCAGAGTGTGGTGAGTGTTTCGGGACTGCTGCTGGTACCTGGCTGTGCTGGGGTTCGAAAGAGATTCAGCGCCCCTCCCTTGTCCCCTCTTTGTGGAACTCTGAGGGGAGGGCTGCTGGCTCAGCCACCGCCTGTTCTGGGTGCCAACAGAACATCCCTTCTAGGTGGCTCTTGTCTGTCCTGCCTGGAGAGGTTGCATGGGGTGGGAGAGGGTGGGTGGATGACGGAGCCGCTGCGTGCCTGTGGTCCGGGTGCAGGAGGCCGGGGCGGGAAGGCGTGGGCTTCTCCACCTAGGCCTCAGTGGGGCTGTTTGCTGTGGACGGCAGCACTTCCTTCGCCTCGAAAGATAGCCTGTGTTATCCCATGGTGTCCATTGGCCAGAATGCCATGCAGCCCGGGCACAGTGGCCATGGGCTCAGCTCACCCGGCTGCCCTGGGTGGCCCCCAACCCTTCCTTGACCTGACGCACAGACAGTGCTACAAGGAGGACGGCAGCTCCAAGAGCCCCGACTGCCCCGTGTGCAGCCGCTCCCTCAACAAGCTGGCTCAGCCCCTGCCCATGGCCCACTGTGCCAACTCCCGCCTGGTCTGCAAGATCTCTGGCGATGTGATGAACGAGAACAACCCACCCATGATGCTGCCCAACGGCTACGTCTATGGCTACAATGTGAGTGGGGGCAGGCCGGGCAGGGGGGTGGGGTGAGGGGGGCTGGGCTGGCACGCATCTCCATCGGGACAGGGCTGGGAGGGCAGGGCACGGGGCCAGGCTGGCACACGTCACCATCAGGACAAGGGCTGGGGGGCAGGGCAGGGGGCCGGGCTGGCACACGTCACCATCGGGACAAGGGCTGGGGGGCAGGGCAGGGGGCCGGGCTGGCACGCGTCTCCATCAGGACAGGGC